GGAAAAATAATCCTCTTCACTGTACAGTAAACAGTACCTGGGATGAATGATATCCTCTCCTACTGCTAAAAATTAAATGAAGCAATTTTATCACTTGCATGCATTTGTTTTGTTTTCTTCAGCCTATCTTCAATTTTAAATATTTAAAGCATTGTTATTTTTTGTATATATCTGAAATTATTCGGTCTGGCTAGACACACTGCACTGACTAGTCTTACCTCCTCTTTTTTCCCTTAAAAAATACTAAAAGTTACAGTGAAAACCCCAATACAACCCTTCTAACAAGCAAAAAGCATGGTTTCAAGCCTTCTGAAATGAGTAAATCTCCAAACAAAATCCCTTAAAAACAATTTTTTTTTGGATTGTTACAGTGTATTGCTTAAGTCACAACTCTGTGCTGCTGTAAAATATGACTGACCATAACCTGCTAGAATTCCTCTGTGGTTCTGGCACAGTTCTCAGAATATTAGATTTTTTGATGACCCATATATAGGCTATATTTCCTACCTGTCATCTTTAATGTTCATCTTAGGACCTTATGCAAACCAGTCCACATTTCAAAATGTTTTTGTTTCCTCATCATAAATATTTCTATTAATTTCGTTGTGCTTTCCAGATTTCTTGTCATGTTGTGTTACAGAGTTCTACCCAATAAGGTATTTTAATATGCTGCCTTTCACATTTAATAGTAAATTTGCAGCCATAGAAAATAACCACATAATTTATCTATTTTAGTGACAGAAATCAAGTTTATTTACTAGATTCTGAGTAATAAGTGAATGCGCAGAAATTATGATTTAAAATAATTTTTCTCATTGTGGTTTCTAATTTATCACACCTGATTCTTAATTCTGTTGATTTTCCTCCATCACAGAGTTGTCCTAAATATATCTAGGGAGGAGGCTATCCCACCTTTTCACCAAGATTCACTACTACAAAAATATATTCTCTTGTGCTCACACTTCCTATTCTGTATAACAGACTGAAACAAAAGAACAGATTGTATCTCAAGAAGGTATATTAACAATCACCTCAAAGACGGTAATTTATATAATTAATTGAGATAGTCTCCTTTGCTTGCACTGAAATCTACACATTAGGTGTGTTCTCTGTATCTCTAAACACAGCAAGACCAAGAGCAATGTGTAAAATGTCAAAATGTTTTTCTCATTTTTCTGTTTTCTGTATTAGCAGTCATCTCAAAGAAGTAAACGTGCTGCAATGTAGATTAAGTCCTCCAGTTTTCAAAAAAAAAAAAAAAGTTTTTTCAGGGTTACTTTTCCAAGAATTCCTTTTTGACTAACTCCTAAATGATTCTAGGTTTGCACACTATATTATATGCTCAGAATAACAACCATTCCACTATTCCACCAGGTACTGCTCAGTAAACATATTTGAAATGCTAGTAGAACTCTTGAATGTTAAAATGCTCACTTTTGATCAAGAAATTGAGGATATAAATAATGACATTAAGAAACATACTGTACGTACTGCCTGATAATTCATTTGGTTCTCAAAATAAATAATTCAGCACTACAAAAGCAGAAGAATTACACATTTAAAAACTCTACATGATTTGTAAATTTAACTAAGCTAGCTGCAGCATAACAAAAAAACATGCAGAGTGATTTATTTATGAAATGGTTTTGAAAACAAAAGTTTTGACAAAAGGGGTCAGAGTTGTTCAACATAAAACTTGTTTTGGATGAAGTACTGCATTTCTTTTTTTCCTTCTTTAAAAACAAACAGAAGCATTCTTTGCTTCATCCTCTCTCCCTCTTGTCTCCTCTCCATCCTTCCAATATTAAGGGGAACAAACCAGGGAGAATAAACAACAAAAAAAAGACACCACCAGAAAGTATTCTGATTACTTTTCCTTTGTTAATTCAATGGAAATTCCACATTTTAGAGCTCTCCGTTGTTAAGGTGCTGCCTTTATTGAGAGCTTAGTATTGTTCCTTCATTATATAATACATAAACTGAACATGCAGTAGCGTTTTAGACTTCATAAGATTAAAAAAAAATTTACAGAGATTAAAAGCAGATTAGATTCAATTTGTCGTTTGGGAGCTAATTACCTGTTTTAATACTACAATAGTTTTCATATAGAATCCAATCCGCCGACTGAAAGAAGGCACGCTTCATTCCAGCGTTGTTATTTGCAAAATACAGAGGCATAAGATCTGTCTAGATTTTATTCAGATACTGGACGGCCACGAAACAACTTTAAAAAACAAGAATTTATTCAGATCAGCACTTAGCTGACTCAGGAAAACAGAATTATCAACATTAGAAAGTATCCCAAGAAAATTCCCCAGGGGAAACCGGGAGGGAAAAATCAAACGGGGAATGACTCCATCTACAGGAATCCAGAAGTAAAAAGAATACTGCTGTCCTTCCCATCCTCTCCAGCCAGAAAAGGCCAACACTGGTCCTTCCCACATTAGCTAATAACAATTTTTAATAAAAGGGACACTGAAAAAAATCTGCATAGGTCACGGTTCAGAGCACCCTAAGAAAAACTTTTATTATTTTCACGTATACCTGATTAAGGACACAGGCATGACAGCGTAGTCACAAGATGTTAAACCCCCATTCACAAAGCCAGGCTTAACGGCTATGAAAATATTTGCAAATTTGTAAATGCAATTTCAATTAGAATCTCTAAGTCTTCTACAGAATGATTTTTTCCACTGAGCTCAGGAAAAAAACACATCTCTACATGAAAAATACTGTCACTCTACAGGATTATTCTAATTTCATCATCATACTACATAACCTTTGCTAATGTTGATCTTGTAAACAACTATAGTAACGAAAACACTGAAATAAAATGGTTACAAAAAAACAGACATGACTTCATGTTTTTAACTTTATATGTGCATTACAGTCCGGGCTTCAAAATTCTTACTCGGGAAAAATGACATAAATGAGGCTAAGTGAGTATTTTTAAATATTTTTTCCAAAAGAAGTGCTTATAGTTACACATGTTAAGGTCTTGATGTGAAGCCTAAATGCAAAATTTTTGTGGAGATGAAGGCAAATTTCAGTTCTCTGCAAAATTTTCAAGGAATTTTAACAAGTGCCAAATTGCAAAAGCTTCGTATGCCTACAGTCACAGAAGCCATCCAAGCTGAGCAAATAAACTCTTGCTAACCTTAAAACTAATTAATGTGGGTACTTGACAGCCTGTTGAAGATGCTTGGTAGATAGTGAGCAAGACAGTTCATAGAAGTACTGCTCCCACTGATATGCTGCCTACCTCAAGTAATCAGCATTAACAGGAAAGATTTGTATGGCTAGACTCTTTCTGAATTGGTATCAATTAGGACACGTATATCAAGTCAACAGTCTTGAAAAATTGTCAAACTAGTCCCAAAATTCTATTTTTTAAAAAAGTTGAGGGTATTTTAGACCTAATTGAGGAACCTGTCTTGACAAGACTTTTGAAAAAAAAAAACAAGATGGTAATTAATTAAGAAGCAGATGCTTTAACAGATGTTTCACTAGTTACAGTCACATCTCATGACTTGTGTTTCCCTAATTCAATGTAATATTAATTGTACTGTGTTTTAACATAGTTGTAAAACTCATTCCATCCTCATCCCATTCATGCAAAGAGAGTATAAAATGCTATCAAATCAAATGGTTCTATTATTTGTAAATGACCTCACAAGTTGTAAACAGCAGGGAATCCTGTAACTTCTCTGTAATCTGCAGACATATTCCCACAGTATTTTCTATAGACCTCTTCTTTAATTCTAATTTAAATTCTAGTAAAATAGTAATAAATTCTGAATGGGAAACAAATATTTAGATATGATACTAAAAACAATGTCAACAGTACCCAGTGGTGTTTTATTTTCTAATTAATATGCATAATCATGCTACCTACAATGAGCAGCTCTATCTGTAATCAGTGAATAAAATACCATTAACATAGTTTTCAATTCTGTTCTTTCTAGTTTCTAAGATCATTGTTTAAAAGCTGTAACACTTCATTGCATATTAAATAAATCCAATCAAAAATAATGAGCTACATTCTTCTTCAGTGTAGGTTATCACTATAGATCAATAATAATGGGAAATTTATCCCAAAATACATTTATTAAAAGTGAGGAAACTGCATCTCAGGAAAACCTAACATCAAACCAGTAAACTTCCTCAATAGAAAACTCAACAAGCCTCTGTTACTGTGGATGGACATGAAAGATTTAGCATTTGTACCTCAATTATGTCTTTTCTTCCTGGCTTCATGTCATTCTCTCACAGCACTGGTTTCCAGCCTCCATGGGACTGGACTTCTCAGACCCATCTTCCCTCAAAGCAAAACATCCCTCCCCACTTAGCCGCACAGAGGGGACCCCAGGCATCCTTCAGCTCCCATCAGGGACCTTTATATCACTGAAGGAGGACAGCAGGACTCTGTGGCACTGGATCTGCTGGCAGAGGAGGTGTGAGACAGCTCACCTGGTTGTACAGGGCACAGATGTGCAGCGCAGTGTTTCCTGAGGCGTTCTGCGCACACATATCGGCGCCGTAGAAGAGGAGGTGCTCTAGATGTTGGACGTGTCCATATCGGCAAGCCTGTAAAGAGATACATTCATTGTTTGGTTACTCAATAATCTAGGCAAGCGTTCCAGGTAAAGATTTTAAGCAGAGAAGATGCTATTTTACTTAGGGTCTAATTTTTAGAACCACTCCTGCACTGAACGGAAGGACTAACATATACCTGCCTGTAAACACCAAGATGTGCACTTCAGGTACAGCAAGTCTGTCCAAAAATTTAAGCATCTGCTTATTTGATGAATGGAAGTTCAAGGGATCGAGAAAACACAAAGTTTGGTACTTTTTATCCGCTACTATTCATAACTCAAATGTGACAAGCAGACAGAGAAGCCAAGTTTCTCTCCTGCTGATCTTCGGAAAGTTGCCCACTAGATGGCACTGAAGATGATCAGATTTCCAAAGCTTGCTTTTAAGGCGTGAAAAGAGTTTGGGGAAATCTAGCCAAAATTCAACTAATTATCTTCTTGATTCTGTGATGTCAAGTAGATACACTGTATACACATGGCACTGATCCAAAGAGGGAAAAATCTTCAAGAGTTACTTTATCAGTCACACAAATAAAATGTTAGACTCTGAATACTTGGAAATAAACCTCTATGAACACGACTTCATTGAAATTACGAAACTTTCCTGATTAGTAAATAAGTTTGAGAAAAATCACAGTATTTCCATTCATCAGTCTCATTTTCTTGACTACCTTCTTCTGTATAGCACAGCAACTAAGCACCTCTCAATTTGTAACATTTTTAACTTGGTATTGTCTCAGATCTGTATCATTCCTATATAATAATATGGAATTTAAGCTGAGAGATACAGGTATACAAAGCCATTTATTCTGTTTTAGGTATCTTATTACCACTGACTTCAGTGGGAGTTACAAACTGACACATCTCACAATTTGGATCAGAAAAATTAAGTGCACTGATCAATGCATAAAATAAATCTGTGACATCTCAAATCTCGGTCTAGTATCCTAACCATTACACCTTTTCTTCCTCCATTTTCAACACATAGAAAGGGAAAAAACAGTGTTTATTAAATAGTTTATTCATTTACAAATTATTTGCCAAAATAATGGAGACATTATGCTGGCTGTTATTAGAACAGGAACATTTTAATGCTAGGCAACAGAAAGCAAACGAGCTTTGCAACGAGCAAAGGGAGAAACAGTACCAAACCGTAACTGTGTTTCTGACTGGGCAGGAGATTAGATCAAATCCACAATTAGCCATAAATTATCAATTCTTTCCAGTCTCTAAAAGTCACTCAACATCTAGGTATGAATGTGCAGATGTAATTATTAAAATAACTCCTAAAATACAAGAACTAATTCCAGCTTTCTATTCTTACTACAATAAACTGGACTAAAACCAGGCCCTTTCTCCACTTTGCTTCCTTTGCTAGAGCGGGATTTGCCTCCTCTTTGCCAATCAGGCAATAACACTTAGTCAGCTTATGAGGAGGCTCTGGAAGACAACCAACGCAGGGAAGATGCATTTCTACTCATTTTAAGGGTCTGCATGGTAGGAGAGATACAGGTATCTCCAGATTTTTATTACTGTCCTAGCACAGCATGAACCTTACCTTTTCCCCTTTACTATAAGGGTAACCCAGAGGTTTAACTTCTACAGTTAAAGATTGTGTTAGCAAAATGAAAAATACACTTGCTGCCAATTATTTCCTTGCCATGCAAGGTAACTTAGCCTTACTCACACAGGTGACAACATATGGGATTGTAACATATCATCATCTTTCTTAAATCATTGACAATGCCTGTATTATTGATCACTGAAAACAGATTGCCATAGATACAATGGGTTTGAAAAGCTCTGTTTCATTACCAGAAATAACAACCATATGTGTTTTGAGTTTTCAAAACTGAGAAAAATAGGAAAAGGGCAGAGTTTTCAAAATAGGGAAATTTTTCTCTATATTTCCATAGAGTCCAGATGGGGCAATACTTTGATCTAGACAACCCATTTCCTCCACATCCTCAGAAACTATGGTAATAAATAAATCCTTATTTTCTGCTATTAGAGGTGGATCCATATGACCTTGACCTGAACACACTTACAGAATGAAAAACCTCAGATCCTTGCCCAAACCTGGGTACCAAAGCTATCTCCCATTTCCTTCAAAGAAAAGAAGAAAAGAAGTTGTGTACTAAAAAGATTAGTGCACAAAAAAATGGGAACTTAGATGACCTAAGCAGGCCAGCAAGGTTGACTACTCGTATCTCTATTTCTCTGACCATGCTACATCAGTTCCGTTTTTTATGATTACTCAACTTATCCATACAAAGAAAAGGCATAAAATAGCTGCCTTTTATATTTTATAAAATAGCTGCAATGACATTAGGACTGCTGGAATCATTAAACTTTGTAAATCACTGACTTTATCACTACGTAAAGAAAAATTATTAAAGCATTCTTACACAATTGTTGCATAATATTTGGACGTTTCTGGAGAATAAAAGAGAAAAGACTTAAAGAAAAAGTGGGTTTTTTTCAGAAAATGCGTTATCAAACATTATGGGTCTTTTTTTAAGAGATAGAATTCAGGTCTTTGGTGAGGAAGGAGGCCTATCTTCCCAACAGCTGTGTGAAGCTGACCAAGATGTGCCAGTGCCTGATGAATTCTGGCACCTTATCTAACTGAATGTATCATGAGCACCATGAACCTCAAAAAATTACATTTAAAAAATAATTTTTCTTTATAGAGCATGCTACCAACCTTTATCCACACACTCAATATGTAAGAGAGGAAAGGAAAACCCATATACAAACAGCAAAACAAAAACATCATTAGAGTCCCAGTTTCCACACACGCAGGGAAGGAAAACTGACTCAAACTGTGAGTTTGTAAGAGTTTGACATCCTTCAGTGCAACATACTTTTGGATCCTAGCAACAAGATCCTGAACCCAAATCTTGTCTAAAGTTCACCAGAGAGAAGGCAGAAAGAACCTCTGACAAATGCACAAGAGGCATTTCCAAGGATACTAAAACTGGCATCTAACAAAAAGATCAAGTTATCCTTTTTTACTGAAGTGCCACTAATAGGATGCTAAACTTTCAAGAGTCCATTACATAAACATGACTAGTGCAATTTCTGCAGCAAAATCCACAGTAATCATAGGATTTCAAAGTTACAGAACGCTACTAGAACAGTTTCCACTTCCAACTCACCACAGCAGGATGCAAAAGAAAAAGGAAGTAATGCCATACTTTGGTGTGTGTGGACTAAACATTTCCAAAAGGCCTCCAAAACAGTATTTAACTATAGAACATACACGGCACATTTCCTCATGCAACTTCAATTCCAAACAAAAAGTAATCTTTCCTACCTGATGGATTTCTTGCCAACCATTTTCATCTTTGCAGCTGACTGTAGCGTGTTCGTGGAGTAACAGTTCACAGCAGTATGGATCCCCTCCCACAATAGCAGTGTGGTACAGTGGTGTCAAGCCACAGCTGTCTTTGTAGTTCGGAGATGCTCCAAGCTCTAAAAGGGTCTGAAAGCAATCACAAACTGTGAAAAAATATATTTTGGAGGGACTTCTAACTATAAAGGGACTTCTCTAACTGAAAAGGTATTTACAAGGTTGATATTTGCCATAATATATATTTTTTGCTCATTTTTCATAAATTGACAGAATGAGCTGCAGCACAGATTAAGTTAAGCAAGGAATGACCTCAGAAGAATTAGGATCTAAAGGAATCTGTGAGGATAGCAAGGAAAGAATGAGTGGCAACGTCCAATTTCCATGCTCTCACTAAGTTCAGAAATCTCAGTTCCGAAAATGCCACATTGCCTTTGCAACACATTCACTTCTTCAGTTACAAGTTTTATCAAAAACGTCATGCAATTTGAATATCTGTCAAAAGGAAATAAGTAAAATTCATAAGCCATAAACATAAGACAATCTAGAATATAAAGTTGATTTAAGAATACCTGTTAAAATACAAAAGAAAACAGAAGAGACTGTTCTAAGATACAATGGGTAATCCATGCTACTGGCATTTGCTTTCAAAGAGATAAGCAACAATAACGCTATTCCTAATTCCTCAGACGGATCTTTCTCAACCTATCAATGAATAAGGTTAAATTTCACCATTTTTGCTTCCCACCAAAAAAAAAAAAAATGTTAGAAATAAAAGGCCCTTTATTGAAACCAAATCCTAAGATTTGAAAGTCACAAGAAAGCACTAGAACAAGCACATATCAAAGGATTCATTGAGGACAATACAGTAATTAACTGAAAGCATTCTCCTTTATATATTTTTTTTCTATAAAATAATGTATAATTTGCTACTGAAAGCATTTACCTTGAGGGTTACTTGGTTCTTGGCTCTGGCTGCTTTGTGCAGAGCTGTCATTCCATCTTTGGCTCTGAAGTCTAAATGTGCACCCCCATTTTTCAGAGCTTTTATCACTTCTACTGTATTGTCAAGCTGAACTGCCAAAGTTAGGGGTGTTTCTAGAGAGAAGAAGAGCATGTATTTGAAAAAAATATGAGCAAACTTGTAAAATAAAGAACATTTACTTCAACTGTGTTTAGTTAAAAATGCTGCTTAAAGAAAATCATAAACTATCAATTTTCTCCTTTGGACAGCAAAACCATACAGATTCCATTAGCCTAGAGTTATGAAGGCAACAGAAAGAATGTGTGACATTCAGCCTGCTAAACAACTAAGGTTGAATAAACCCAAGGTACCACTTTATGCTGCTAGTTTTACTGTTCTGACCTCCACTTTCTAGGTCATGATAGTTTGGGTCCAGTCCTCGGTCCAACATCTTTGTGATTTTTTCCACTGAGAGATGGTGGACATGATCCATAAATTTTCTCAAATTAGCCTGAAACAAAGAGTAACAAATGAATCATCCTCTAATTTTAAAAAGAAAATTTTGACTAAAAGTGAAATATTCTGTCAATTGATGTCAATATCCATTGACATTATTGAACAGTACCTAATTCACACTCCTGGAGAACCTGACTTTATACTGAGAGCATAAACCCTACAGTTTATGATGTTCAAAAGTCAAACACAGTAAGAAGATTCTGGTTTTCATAGTTTTAAGGGAAAAAAATGACTGAAAGATTCATTCTGTAAGAAATGAGTATGGTGTATGGCGATCATTGCTATTATTATCCTGACCTGCAAATGAGTCTAAAGACATAGGTTGCTGCTTTAGAAGCATGCTAAAAGCACGTTGTATTTAGGAAGTAAGGTTCAGTTTAAATTACTTGTATACATATGGAAGAATCAATCATGGGAGTTCTTCTATCAGAGCAATTCCCAAATCACAATTCATGTGCTCCTGTTGGTGCCGGAAGCACATACTGTTTGTCGTTCAGCAATTGGCCCAAGTGGTAATGAACTCCTCCTTATTTCCAGTTTCTCAGACACATTGCTTGGCTAAGTCAGCAATTGCTAACTTCTCCAGTACATTGGGCATACCTTCGTATGAAGCTTGGCCAGCTGTTTTTCATCAAGATTGAACTGTTTGTACACTCTTTTCTTGTATCGAAACTGAGGGAGGAAAACAGAATAAATTTTAAATGTCCTATGTTGCATAAAGACTCATAATTTAATTTTCTGACCTTACCAGAGAGTATCTTCCACGATGATACAGATTTAGGTAAAATTCAAAAAAAGGCTTTGGATTTCATTTTGAACATTCACCAATAATCAGCGCTCTGCTTTACATAGTGGCATCATAGTTTTACAGTTCATGTAAGTAAAATTCATGTCTTGTATAAATACACTGAAATCACTGGAGGTGTATGGGAAATGAGATCAGCCTCTAGAATCTACATAAATAAGCAAGAATTACAGTGAAAGAGCTTTTCCCTAAGGGTATCTGTGCACTTTACAGTTTCAGGCAGGAAAATGAACTAAGACGACATGTTAAATAAAAAAATACATATTTCAATATATCATCTTAGCATTTCTGAAATCTAAAAAATGAAAACAACAACTAAAAAGATTCCTGAAAAATCTCTCTTAATCAACACAGGCAGAACTTAACACTTGGGAATAGTTCTGATGTTTAACAGGACTGGTCCTGTGAATGAGGTTCAGAGGATTGCCTCTTTTTTGGCAGAAACTCACTGCCATTTTACCCTGAACAGTTTTGTACCCTGTGGCCAGAGTAGCAAGACCTGTGGCAAAAATCATGGGATTTACATAGTTACAATTTACTATTATCTAATGGTACTATGCAGAATTCAAAGAATGCAGCATGTCTGTTGGACAAGGAGACTGTACTGAATAGGGCTTTAATACCAGCTTTTCACAAGACTACTTTTAACCCCTGAATTGCAATCCTTTAGCTGCAGAAAGAAGAATTCAATCAGTGAACACTCATGAAACAACATGACAGAAAAAAATAAAATAGTTATTTAATTGGCTTATGGCTATAATATGGGCATCAGTGATTGAATCTCTGAAATAAACTGCTAGAAAAGCTAGAACTTGAAACCTTCTCTGGACCCTGGTTCCTTTTTCTTGAATCTGTGTTACAGTGAAGCCTGTTAACTGCAGATTATTAGTGGTTGATGTACCACCATAAAAGCAATACCAAAATTAATTAAATACTAGTTTCATGCCCCAGTTTTCCACTATACTGTGTTTCAGTGCGATCTGGCTCCGCTCCATGTTCGCCCAGTGCCATAATAGTTCTGCCCAGTTTATCCCCCAGCTGCACAGCCTCTGCCTGAGTCACGGAGAGGGGGATATTCCAGTGTCTATGGGTGACTGCTTCACACATACACACCCTTCTTTTCCCTTACCGCTTTCTCAGGAGACAGTGAGAGGAAATCTGTGCCCTCTGAAGGAGAGGGGTAAGGCTTCACTGAGAAAGACAGACTCTTTCTTTGGGAGAAAGTAAAGGGTGCTTTTTCAGCAACTGCTACCCTACTATTGCAAACCTAATCAGAGACTCAAAAGCTTAATCTAAAACCTTACATTTCTTTATTAAATCACAGAGTAAGATACATCTCCCGGGTCCTCAGCAGAAGAAAATTCCAAAATCAAATTTCCCAGAGGGACTGATTCTTTGCAGCCTTTTGGGGATAACACATGGAATGGCTTCACCGAGCAAGTGAAAGCCAGCACTTCTGTGAGCAAGGGTTCAAGTTCAGACTTCCTGATTGCTATTTCCCAAATGCAATTCAGATGCATGCAGAAACCTCAAATACAGCTTAATGTATAATTTGTATCAGAATACAAATCTTCCGGATATTAGATCTAAGAATACCTCTAGTGAAGGAACTCCTTTATTCACTGGCTGTGGGTACTCCCTAAGAAGTCGTTCCTCATCCAAAAACTTCCCATCTCTACCATTGCTTGCAGGCTGGAACAGTCCATAATTCAGGACATCTTTCAAACTCTGATTCAAAGTGCACAAAATTCGCTGTTTTGCAACCCACACTGAAGCTTCTGTGTTAAATCTAATGCATTTCTGCAAAGAGAAATTATTTTAAAATCTAATTAATTAAAAAAAAACCACTTAAAGAGTATCTTACATTCTAAAATATACAAATGTCATAAATATATATGAACATACACAATAAACCTACAAATTCCGTGACAAAACATACATCAACAGATATGCATTTCAGATGCGCATTCCTCTATAATAACTAATGCACAACGACTGTGAAAATACAGGATGTTTCAAGTCCTCCCACAAAAATCAGAGACCATATCCTTCTTCAGAGAAAGAACACCTTCACGGCAAACCTGTTTGAAAAGCCAAGTAAAAGGGATGTCACAAGATGTTTAACCATCCATTTGGTTCTAGGCTGTTCTGAAATCAGTCTGATCCACAACAATTTCACAAAGAAACGGTATTCAGGCAAGAATCCCAATTTGTTTTAAGCTACAGTCATCTTAGAGTAAGTTTATAGGAGGAACAATATGAAGCAAAGCAGCAGAGGACTTGAAAATCCTTTCCAGTTCTCTGCTTTTTACCAAGTTGGAATTTAGGAATTTAAAAATTTATGAATTTTGCAACTGTAGCTTACATTGCAGTCCTTGGTTACGAGTTGCCAGCAGATGCAATACCAAGAAACCAATTTGTTTCCCCTGATGTGCATTATGAATGTACGGTGCCCCTGATTCATCCCATACTGGGCCAGGAGATGGGCTTGTACCAAGCTGCCACGGCAGAGCTGCAGCACAGGAGTCTCTGCTTTTCCCTGCTCAAAGGACATCCCCATCCCCTCGGGATTCAACACAGAACGCAGGGATTGCACGCATAAGAAAAACGTTAATGGAGGTATCTTTTTTTTGTCAGTACATTTCCATGAGTGTAGCTGTAATTCTGGCTACGGTAACAACATCAGTAACCCATCTTCAGGCCTTTTCTGAAGACCTCTGCTACTCTCCATACGATAATTGCACACAGAGATAAGACAACAGAAAAAGAAGTAAACATAAGACATGTTTTATGAAGACAGTGAAGTGTTTCCTTTAACATTACCCACAGCTGCTTCTGCAGCGCTCATCTCTGCAGTACCTGTTGGCAACTTTTTTTAAGTCCTGAGGTGGTCCGTAAGAAAATGGTTGCAGTATGTCTTTTAGAACTAAACATATTTATCCTGGCAAGCTCTGCATACATCTGAAAGTAATCTCTGACCCCATATACACAAATCAAATTACAAATTTTTTTAATATTTCAATTCTAAATCTTGAAGACCAAATTCAAAGGCAGAAGTCACAATATTTTATAGTTCACAGTGTCTTCTGGACGGTTCCAATATTACTTGACAAATATTTTCAACAGTAAAAAGTACATCCAGGACATGAAGGACTTTAAATTTACCATTGTTTTTAAGTGAGCAAACACTACAGTCAATCAGTCCTCCATATGTATTCACTTTGTCAGAGCAGAGATGACTAGCTGGTTTTGAATACCATGACATAGTGAAGTTAAGGAGTTTCGCTCTGGTTTTCTGGATTAACTGCCACATATGAGGACTATCAATAGACACTGATTTGAGATGTCCTCATGAATTTTTAAAAATTATCAGTTGGGTTGTCTTTCCTCAACCCCTGCACATACCACACTTTTTCAGCTACAGCCCAAGTCCTGATGTTAAGACATTTCAGGGTATGTAACGAAAAAAGGATAAAATTTTCATTGCAATGTGCTCAGGTGATACTTTGGTCTATGAAATAACAGATATCTTTAATCTTTTACAGTCTTAAACATAAAAATGTAATCAAATGAGATATTAGGTTTTGTCACAAATAAAGTTGACTAGGAAGCAGTTTTCATTCCCCTTACATATTTTACATTTCAAGGTGTTTTTGAAAAGTTGAGGGGTTTAAAATGGTGGAGGAATGGAGAGAGGGAGACAGAAAGAACATTATAAACAGTATTTTCATTCTCAAACAGCCCAGTAGTTAAGGTACTGACTTAGCAGCAAGGGCAATCTGGTTTAAATCCCTGTTTAAATCACTGTGCAGTGATCCACACAACCTGAAAGATATTCCTCCAGCTCTGAACCTCGCTTGCCCTATGACTCTTACATGGATTCAAACTTCCATACAAAGTTCAGATTCAAATATCAGCAGTTTTCAGCGAGTCTAAAAATTGTCAGTTACAACGCATGTTATGAGCTTAACTTCTACATGCTGTATCACTGTGCAGTGATCCACACAACCTGAAAGATTACAAGAAATGCTGTTAAAATGGGAAGATGCAAAGACAATTTTTAAATTACATGTTTTGGTGGTTTTTTTCAGGGAAGTCTTTCTAACATGAAATTCTTAACATGAAACAAATTATTTTTGGACTTGTACAACACTGCTTTGATTTTAACAGTACAAAACACTAACATCTGATCGTAGTTTAACTAGGTCTGCTTTTTTTAATGCATCTTGAGAATTCAACACATTCCATTTTGTTCAGTCTATTCTTGTGTTCTATCTGTTCTTGATTGCATGAGAATATTGCAGATAATAGTGTGTCTAATTCTCAAAGACTTGCTAAATTGGCAAAGTTATAAATAATTTCAAATTTCCTCGAAATATATTTCAATGGAAAATAAACCTTTCTACAGTGTTTATGCATATTGCATCAGTAACGCACGATATTTATCTTCTGAAATAGTGTGCTATCCACAGGTCTGACACTAGCACATTCATACAATGCATAATAGCTTAACCACCTTCCCTGGACTGAAATGGCAATGAGGAATTCTTTTTGTGCAGTAGCTTGAAGGTCTGTTTTAAAATGACTTATCCAATAACTATACCATTATTGTATTTCTAACTCACTAGCTACAATATTTCATAAAGTCCTCAATGGCAGAATAGATATGGAAACACTTTGAAACTAGTAATTTCACAAACTTATTTATTCACAGCCCTAGCTTTTGTAGTGATTCACAAGAAACAAAAATGCACTTATTTTAATAAACTTTGATCCCATAGGTAATTTATAATGAAGAAAGATCAATGACATAAAAAGCAAATCAATAACTGAACAACTTTTTCCTACCAAAACTGTTCAAGGCCAGGATGGATGAGGCTTTGAGCAACCTGGTCTAGTGGAAGGTGTCTCTGCCCATGGCAGGGGGGCTGGAACTAGATGATCTTTAAGGTCCCTTCCAACCCAAACCATTCTATGATTCTATAATTCTATAAAATTTCTCAGACTCGGATACGTGAAACTAGTGAGAATAATTATTATTTATGCTTCCCATGAAGCCAGGCAGGACAGAGAGAGACACTTTTACCACTCTCTCGGAGGCAGCTGCTGAACAACAGGGCAAGAACCACCACTCAAATGCTACATAAAGTGTATTTTAGATCAGGCTGCCTCTGGAACACCTGCCCTATGCCACTTCTCTGCCCGTCTGGCAGCCTTCTGAGGACAGAGACCACCACAGTCATCATCTCCATTGTGCAGACGAGTTGTTACCTACTGCCACACTTTCTATCCTGAGAATAGTCAGCTGAATCACAGCAGAATATACACACAGATTGTTTTAGTTATGAAATAAATAAGAATTCATTAGATGCACATAGTGTGGTGGCCACAAGGAAACGACAGCAGCTGAGCGAAAAAAGCTAGACTTTTTCTAACCTTCAATGACTTGTTATCAAAAAAAAAAAAAAATAAGGACAGTTTAGTGGCAAAGAACTACAGAAATACATATGAAACAGATATTGTGCATTGATAGATGTGGGATCTATTCTTTCCACCCTTTTTATGGCATTCCCAGATTAAAAAAAAATACGATAGTTTGTCTTGAAGGCTAGCTGCCTAAACTATAAAAATCGCAACAGTTCTTTCAAATAAGAACCAAAAACAAAGCCCTGAGTGTCTCAAAAACACTGTCAAAACCACACTAGGCCACTCAAAATCCAAGTTTAGTAGTAAGACAGCACGTCAACATTGGTTGCTGAAAGGAGAGACCTGCACTTTTGATATTAAAGCTCTTTGGATCATGAGACACAGGGTCAATTATATTTTTGTTTTCCTGCATACTGGTGAAAGTAAGTCACTAAGCGCAACAGAAAGACTGGAAGCAAGGGAAAAATATAGCTTAGCCACTCCAGCTAAAGAGAAGACATTAATTCAACGGGAATAATGTTCAAGATATAAAATTTCTGAAGAATAATGTTTATCCATTCAAAATCTATCAACCAACACATCTTTTTTATTAGACTTGCAGTTGTCAATCACACACAACTGTGCTGTGATAGAGGAACCATGACAAACGGTTTGTACAGCTGCCTCCAAAATGTGATTGTCAGAATATCAAAATACAAGTCATTCCTTTCAACAGGAGACATCGATTTTAAAGATGCGACAAACAAAAAGTGGAAAACGCAAATGAGAGTTGGGTATCATGAAAAAATTGAGTGAGTCACTCATTTTTATTTGTGCCCAGTTTTCAACTTAATTCTTGGAGGTAGTGCTCTCATTCATCGAAATGCATTCAGAAAACACAGAATTCATGAGATGCAAGGTCAAAAAAAACCCAGTACAGCCACTCTGTCATCAGCTGGCAAGTCAGATCACCTGTCTAGATCAAGGGCATAAGAACAGATGTCAGCTGCACCCACAATGTTTCCATCGCCAAACTGAAGATAAAAAAAAAGGAAGATCAACTAAAACCAGAAAGCAGCAATGAACAATCAGTCAAAAAATGGGAAAAGTTGCAAAGGGAAACCTGGAATACATCTAAGGCAGTACAGACTGGAAACAAGTTGAAACGGAGGAATCTTAAGCAAAAATGTGACTCAAGCTGCAGTTGTGACAAGTGGGTTCCTACCTTCATAAGATAAAAAATTCACAAACTAAACAAATGTTTCATCTAAGAAAGAAAAGCACTAAAGGAAAAGATTCTTAATCCTAAAGGCCAAAGAATACTGGAAAAAGAGAGGATACAAAAGTACAAAAAGCAATGCTGAAGCAGAAAACTAAAAAGCAGCTACAACTTAAACTGTTGCTTTACCAAACTGCCCCTTACCAAACATCATTTTGCATGGAAAGTACAATATAAAAAAAATGGCATGCATAGACATGGTTGCCATTAGGCACAAGGTAGGCAGTTGCCTTGGGTGGCAAACTGCTGGGAGCTGTTGACCGCCAGCTTTGCTTACCAAGGAAGAAAGATGCAGGCCTGTCACCAATCAGCGCCGCTGACAGCATGACATTGAACTTGCTGCCCTGGCAATGAAGCCTCCTCACGTTGAGGGCAAACACAATTAAATGTTGCCTAAGCTGCCAAGAAACCCTGCACCAATACTGAAAAGAGAGGAGGAACTAGGCAGTTACTGTGATTTCCATCTCAACAGCAAGTAGTAGGGGTCATCACCAAGCAAGAGCCCTCTGGGCTGGATGCACTGCAAATAAGCTGATTAAAAGAGATTTCACCTGTGTCCTGCCTCCATAGAAGATCTATTAAAGCTGAGCCTTCCTGGTTATTAAATCAGGAAATTAAATGCCCGATAATATAGCTTTTTTTACTCACTCTCCTATGCACATGTTTGTGAATATGGAGGGCTTTCTATGTTCTCCATCCCCTCACTAATTTTACTGAGCTCAGGAAATCTTTCATTAACTTATTTAAGTATTCCCCACCTTCCGATGCTAGGGATGACACTTGAATACAGATGATGCACAAAAGCAACAAGAAATTACTCTTTCTACAAAGTATAGTTTCAATACATTGGATTATCATCTGAACTGAAAAAGAGACAAAAACGAATTGATATAAGAACAGAAAAGTAAGTCTTCATAAGAGCTTCATATGAACTTGTCAAGGTTTATATTATCTTTAAAGTTTCAAAAGAGAATAAAGGGCAACAAGACAAGTTTCCTACAATGGGTGATAAATTATGAAGTTTTCTATACCAGTACATCCTACTTACAATGCTTAGTACTTATCTCATATGTGCCATGAAATAAAGCTGATTTACACCCGTCACTGCAGATGAGCAAACATTTATTCCTAGTGAGCATAGGTAAGGATTTAAACCTCCCCAGTGGGCTGAATTTTATCTAAAACTCTAAATTTGTGTTCTTTTAAACAAATATATTCTTGATCATACTTTCTAAAAACTATAAAGAATAAAAAACATAAAACTAAATGATGCCATTCCATGCTCCTTTGATTAAACAGACTAATTTTAAACACCTCTTATGTTAATTATAATTACACAGCAAATGGGGTGTATGTTGGATTTGGCTTGTAGCCAAAGCTTGGATTTGGCTTGTAGCTAGTTCACACAGCTCGTGAACTATGATCTTCCCTAAGCTTTGCTACACAACATTTAAGATATCAGTTTTCCTGTTTGCAAAACTGAATCCAGATTTCACTTTTCTATACAAGAGCTTGCGGGCTGACAAATTAAATCAGAAATAGATCATGTGCTATAGAACTGTTTAAAACAATTGAGTTACTTTTCATTAAGAGTTTATTGAAAAGGGAAAAAAGAAACACAAAAAGTAAAGCAATAAAAATGAACAAATGAAACACAAAACCTAAACCAATTTCATTTCCTGCACAAAATGAATTTTAAAAAAATAATTGTTCCAATAGTTTCAATAAATAAATTATTATTGGTCTATACAACAGAGTAATGAAATAAGAGGGCTTCAGGAGGCTAACATCTCTCTCTTTTTAACAGCACAGTAAACCTAGCAAGTAAGGCTAATCTTTCCATTTTACCAGATCTATTCATCGAGCATTGAACACAGTCAAAGATATAGCGAGCTGGTAGGACCATCAATAAAACCCTAACCATCTCAAGACAGGGCTTGTCTTGACAGATGACTTCACTACAGGCAAAATCCTTTTAAATTTATGTTGTACAGCACTGGATTTCAGTATTTCAATCAACACTGAAATGGAAGACCCAATGTGTTGACTGCTTTAGCTAAGGTTTAATAAAAACCCCGTGTGTGGCTCACAGCAGCCTCAGTCCTGCTCTGCCCTCTGAAGCCTTCCTGTCCAGCTCAGGTCTCACACCACAGGTGTTAATCTGATACCATATAAACTAATAGAGTGATAATGTAAATTCAGTAGGAACCAGCTCAATCCTCATCTAAAAGAATTTTTAAGCACAAGACTATAAGAGAGAACGCTCCCAACCCCAAAACAGATTTCTCTGAGTTTCTGCAGGACTGCACAGATTGGGCTTTAAAAAAAAAGAGCTCTACAACTACACCTGAGGCCACACTGTCAAAACAGCTCTTCCCTGTCAGCCCGTAGACAGGCCATCGCTTATCATTCTAAAACCAAACTTAATTAAGAAGAAAGGAATAACTTCATCTGAGATAGATCTTCAATGGCAGCACAGTATGATGTAGATCTTAAATGTCAGCACAGTGATGTATGTAGCACACTTCCATAAAAAGAATGTGTTTTTATAATCATCTTTGAAATGAAAAAAGTCTGATGCCTACCATCAATTGAATATCCCAACAACAGCATTCAAGGAGGTCCAGGGCAATTTAGGTAATTAATCACAAACTTGGAGAAGTTGTGGTTCTAGATATAATCAATAAGTAACTTCCAAGACCTTCTCCAGGATGAGATTGTTATTCCTATTGTAGCACTTGTGTAGGACAATCATTCTTTTACTTACAGAGTTACAACAGCAAACTTTTCCAACTTCATGCTCCTAACATTCCAGACATGGAATTTTACATATTCTACCGTAAATGAAACACAACTTAGTCGTTCCTTGTGAAAAAGAGTGAGGAATTTGGACTGTAGGTTTCTAATATGTAAGGAACATCCAAAATTATTATTTTTTAATAAAAAAAACCCTTTTCTTTCCATTTACTCAATCAGACATTTTTTAACAAGAGAAGTGTCTTCAATTCTTTCTGTAAGACATGAGAGAGAAAATATTTTCTTGAAAAGTCTTTATTTTCATCCAATAGACTTAGGTATATGAGAGAGAGGCATAAGTCCACAAGTTAGCTTGCAAATGACTTCTCTAGAAAAACCAGAAAAGGTTCATTTTACTCTCTCTGATGTGTTTCCGGTGTAAGTGGTGAGAAGGTGGGAGAGAATAAAATAGCTATTTCATGTTGTCGTAAAAATCGTGGAACAGTATGATGTTGAGCTTCATCCTTCCTCCAGACCGAGTGTGTTGATTTCTTTGGGTGCAAGTCTGAGAAACAAGACTGTGCAGTAAAGGCATAGCAGCAAAGGAGGAAGTTCAGGTCTATTTGTGCTTCTCTTTCCTCATGTTCATGCTCTAAAAGCCACCAGCTGTCTAACAAACATATCTTTTCGTGTGAGGATGACAGAGAAAGGCAAGTAACATGGTAAAGAGAGAGAGAGAATTTGATGACTTCCTGCTAGACCCTAGACTAGTGTCAATCACAAACCATCTCAAGAAAAAACAAACTAGAGAAGACAATGGGATTATATATATATATATATATGAGGCTTTCGTAGAGGCAATATGTGATTTGGGGGTTCGTCTCTCATCTTCTGATAAAATTTTAGACGCCTAATTCTCTTTCTTCTACCCAAACGCCTCTAAATGCAGATCACACAGGTGTCTTGCTTTCATGAAGTTAACATACTAAATACACTCTCCTGAATGGGACAGTGCCTTTGGTTTAGGCAATCAGGCAATCACTGAAGTAAAACACGTAGACATTAAAAAAAAAAAAAAAGACATAAATTTTGGAAAAAAAAAAAAAAAAAGAAAATCGAAGAGAACCACTGCAGATTGAATCCAGCAAAGCTAATTATTACATTTTACTTTTTTTTTTAATTGTAATGCAATATGCCTTACTGTTTGCTGCAGATCGGGTATTATAATTCGAATCACTAAAGTGTTGCTCTGACTGTCCTCCATTCTGCTGCTTGGCTTTTCTGCAGTTGCTCTAATTGTGTCATAAATAGTTTCTTCTTTGGAGCTGTCTGATTCAGATTCAACAGAATAGTCAGAAAAGCTTTGTGCCATCTCATCTTCACTTGATGTTGGGCTACGAGGCATGTTCAAGATTTTTATCCTGCCAATACAAAGGAGAAAGGGAAAAAGATAAGTTATAGTTAAAGTCTTTAAATGAATCAGCTACAAGTTTTGGTTTTTTGGAAGTAACATGCGTTTAACAACAGAGTCATATGTTTTATCCTCCTTTTATTTCCTCATATAATTTACATGGGCAGGCAGAGTGTAATGGAAATAAATCTGGCTACCAATTTACAACAGAAGAGGAAGAAGGACTGGAGAAGGTAAAAGAGGAATAAAAAGAAAGATGACCTTTCTTCCCAGGCACACCCAACCTCCCAAAGGATCCAGAAAAACCCAGCATAATTACCAGGTTCTCTGCTAAATAACACTGTTGTAAACTGTACTTAGACCTAGATCTGGCTTTGAAGCCTACTTCTCCCAGCATAAAAAGACATTTCATGAAACTAATATAGGTGCTAAACTAACAGCATTCTGTACATCGAGAAACTCTACAAGGCTTCAATAAAAGACAGTGTTCTCAAATAGCACAATCAACCAAAAAAAATCAAATACTAGAGGGAGCCAGCCAAATGCAGATGCTGCTTTGTGGCTTGTGGCTCACACAACATCCTTTAATATCAACACTACCAAAATCTGTCTATTATACATACAATGTATACATACAATACAGATTTTAGAAACATTTTTAATCTGTGGTATAGATCAGGCCAAAATCAAAGTCATGTTTATTCCAAAGTAAAGACATTTGTATTCAGAGGTCTCACAGTAAGAACAGCAGAACATTTTCCTTCTTGGTCTTTCCAATGACAGCAGCTAAAGACTTTTTTTTGTTCCATAAACTAAAAGCTTTTTCAGGAAATAAAAATTATTATTCTATGGAAAAGTAGGGAAACAATTTAAAAGATCACCATAAACTTTGCAGTGCTTGGTAACCATACATTCTTCCAGTTTTCAGAGGCCAGAGAAACGTAAACATTATTTTTCATATTTTCCATTAAAAACCTCCTAAGACAATTTCCCAGCTTTTTAATAATAATAAAAAAAAATCCTTAGTTATAAGGGAAAAAAGAAAAAAAAAACACACAAACAAACAAAACCAACCAATTCCACTGTCTGCCCACATTTAAAAAAGACATTAAAGCAAAAGTAAATCACAGAACGGTGAATTGACTTTGCCAAGCTCACTTATATACCAGGTGACTGTACTGAGATATTCAAATCTACATTTCTATAATGGTCTTATAGTCAGATCCCCCAAAGAAAATACAGTCAAACAACAGCAGGGACTAAGAGAACATTTTTTACCACTGTATTTCACGATTTAGTTTAAGCCAACTAAATATCACAACCAGATTATTTATTCATCTTCGCCATCCAGTCATTTATACCACAATGATTACAAAGCAGGCAGAAAAGGCTACCTATTGCTCTAATTTAGCATTTTAAGGTGACCATATGTTGGAGCCAGCATTTACACCAGAGGACAGGCAGTGGTGAGGTGGGCCTAAAGCTTGAAGTCAAGGGCAAGCATTTCCAAAGCACATCACATACCCACATCATCAAGTCTTATTGTTATTTCCAATGAAGGACAATTCCACTGTTATTACCCTCAGCTATAATTACTAATGAAGACAAAAACAGTGCATTCAAAAAATCTGAAAGCATGCCAGTTCACAGCAGCTTAATGCAAGGCTCTATTTACAAAAGAAAACTCTTGAGGGAGTATTTCATTTTCTTACTGCTTCACTGAACTGTAGATTAATGCTGCTCTCCAAAGCACCTTAAGTCAATAAAAAGCATAAACATTTCAATGGCTTCCTTATTTATCTACCAATGCTAAATCATATGAAGCCAAAATGTAGTAGGTCGATACGCAGTATTTAAGAGCATAAGAGGTATAGGACAGTGAGCGCGAGGAAGAAGACACTCAGACCATCACCCAGTTTGTCTCTCCCTAAAGCTATTTGAGAGCACAATATACTCCAGAGCAATGGATTCAACTCCTCTGACAGGGAGCAGTAAACTGCAATTATACAGCATACAAAGAGTTGAACTAGGAGAAAACTTCCCAAGGTTTTGGCAAGTGGATTTTCATGCAAAAACTACCCAGAAATATCTCATTATGGAATAACAAAGGGCGATCACTAGCTGAAGAACCAATTCCCAGGTATCAAGCACTTCAGTTTAATAAATAGTGGGAAAAATAACTCCTTGGAGACTCATCAACAAGGTGCAAACCGCCTAATTCTCTGGAATACAGATTAAAAAAAAAAAAGCATAAGTAACCATGGAAAATATAATGAACGACTGTAACTACAGTGGCAAAAAAATAACAGAACCTATGCCCCACCAGCCCAATGGAGAAGCAGATCACTTAAATGGCTTCTCTAAACAAGACACTGACCAGACTAAATCAGTACAGGTGCCAGCATAGGGCAGATCCTGCCAGGGAGCAGAGGTCAAGCATGTCTCCCTAAATCTACAGACACATTCAGGCAATTTGGTTGTTTGGCTCTTACGTTGCATGGAAATGGAAGACACCACCATTTGTTAACCAGAGATGCTCACTATCATAGCTCCCACAGGGAAGTCATTCTCTTTTAGGAACTGTTTCAGTTTTGTCCAGTGATATTCCAAAGATTTTTCCACAACTAAAACTATTATCTCAGGAAAAGTAAGGTAGGATGCTCAGTTTGTACAGCAGAAGAAAATACAGCATCTGAGGTTCCTAAGTCCCAGCTGGCAAGTCATTGGTTCAAAAGGATGTTATACAGCTAAAACACAGATTAGTTTCGCTGACATGATTGTCTGGGAGCTTTCTTTCATTTTCTTAAAAACACAACAGATAGACAGTATGCTTCCTATAGTTAAGCTGATCGCATTTTTTAGCAGCATGGCTGCTTTTGGTATAGAGGAGTGCTGAGTAAATGAATAAAAACAGGTTTCCAATGATCTTGGAAGGAAACTCACAATGGAAACTACCACCACAACAGTTTTTGCTCAACCTCACATCCTCTGTCCACATTTCCAGCTCCCATACCTCGAGCTCTCCGCGTGCCCCAGCCCCAGGCACTCTCCTTCCCTGGCCCCAGCACATCCCCTCACCGCTGGCTCACCGAACAAAGCAAACGCGAGCTCCGGCTGGTTAAACAGCGCTTCTGACACAGGAAGGCCATAAAACAGCTGGAAGATGCAAGAATAAAAGGATGGCTATACACTTACCCTTATTATTGTACTCTTCCCTCAGCACCTTGCCCTTTAGCTCTGCAGGAGCACGGGGATGTTTACTCTGCCTCTACAGCTATTGCTGGGTTATGTTTCTCAGGCTGACAGGCCAGATGAAATAAGTTGAGCTCAGATTGCTGCCTTCTTCTCACAGATGCTATTTTTAGAATTTTTTTTTCTCAATCTAGCCAGCAACTTTCACAAAATCTGCAGGAATTTCTTATCCTGCTACTTGTTACCACCCCATCATTAAGGGGAGTTGAAATACCCTATGAATAAATTTAAAAAAAAACACAACACATAGGCAAATAGCGTGACCATCTAACTGTATTTTTCTTTAAAAAAAAAAAAAAAGACTAAGAGCGCATTATGAAAGACCAGAATTAGAACAGTGCACAGATTATCAAAAGGCAAGAAATTCAACTCCCAGAGCTCTCTATCCGAATGGTGTGCTCCAGTGAGTGCAAACTGACACGGCAGGGGAAAAAAGCAAGAGCAGCGACAGAATGATCCTTTCTATGGAACCTTATGGTCGTTACATATCATATGAAAATAATTTATTAAATATATATATGTTTAAATTTATTTTAACTATCTTAAATATTAGAAACTTGGGATTAAAATATCACTGATATGGACACATACTGGAAAGATTATCTTCATTAAATACAGATGTATTATAAGATACACAACGCACTTGCCTGCCACAAAAATCATCTTTTAAAACCTTCGACTTAGTTATGCAATTTTGGGTATCCTGCAACGTAACAAACCCTTCTATCTAGTTTCATACTGGTAAATATGGAACATAATGATACATACACACACAAAAACCTATTTTAAAGGATCTGTCCCATATGAAGTCCCCTCTCTATTGTATCCTACGCCAACATCAGCAAATATGGTGAGTGCAGGCATGGTCATCTAGTTCACCTGGAGCAAACCCCACGGTCACTATATCTCTGACAACCACCAAAAGCAAACAGCTACGTGCACGGAGATCCCGGCATAGCTTCTCCAGCTATCACCACTGCAAGAGTTTCTCTGGCAGGAGCAGAACAATGCTGCAGTTGCGGTGAAGGCCCCTCCTGGGTTTCTGCAGTGAGCAAGACCAACGTATGGTGAGACAGAAGGAAATGCACCCCTAACACTAAGACTAACTTTTGGTAGGGAAACCAAAATAAAGGACATGAGAGGATGCAATCCTTCCTTTCCTGTCCTGCGAGATTTTGGGTTTGTTACTCTGTGAACATAGACTAGGGTCTCACATGAGCGGCCATTTTGGACTAATCTGAATTGTTATTAGTTCTCCTCTATCTAAAATACAGCCAAGGCACATGCATCAAATGTCTTGTCCAAGGCCAACAAGGCTAGATCTCAGAGCAAGGTTTCAAATTCAAGGGTCACTGGCTCCTAGTCATGATAAGAACAATCTATTTCTATATAAACATTCATTTGCACAACAACAGTCCTGTTGCCGGGAGGGAGAAGTCCTCTAGACTGCTATTGTCAGATGAGTTAAAAATGTACCTGTGGGAATATCTCGGATACAGAGTTGGCATTGTTATGGGTTGAGTAATGCCGTTAACCAGACTGTGAGAAAAATTTGCTGTTAGAATAACAGCAACTGCTAGGAAGAGGTATTTAATAATTAACTTAGAAGAAAAACTATTCAGGAAAGGGATTTCCGTCTGTGTAAAACCTGCCAGAGCTCTTAACACTTGGATTCTGTGGCTTTATTCCGGATTATATACGTATATCAGCCCAAGAATCAGCTCGACAAGTTACTAAATTAA